ATGAACAAAGTTCTAATCTGCTTAGCATAGTGCCGCTAATGGGTCCCTATCACTCGTTTATCGAATGAAACATACTGAACAGCCAAAGCTACATCGTAAATACCGAAAGGTTGAAATTTTGATTGGTAGGTGGCCTCTCTTAGGTCCCTTATTTTCATTTATCAATGATCAGCTCTTGTCCCTGAGCACCTACGATCCCTTCATACCCTACCTCACTTACTTAAATGCTTAGGCTCCACTTTCAGTACGAAGAGTGTAATCCTACCAAATTCCAACGCTCTAGGTCCACGTAAACAGGAGTTATTAATTTGCGGCCCAGTTTTTGTTGCGCATGTATCGCCCCCTGCGCACGGAGTCTGGTCCTGCCACCCACCATAAGTGTTCCCGTCCTGTCAACTGTGCTCCTACCAAGATTGAACGCTCCACGCCCACGGGGACAGGACTTATGAATTTGCGGCCCAAAATTTCTAACGCGCACGCCGCGCTCCCTGTGAACGGAGTCCTGTCCTGCCACTTACTGCAAATGTTTTCCTCCTGTCATCCGTACTCCTACCAAGCTTGAACGCTCTAGGTCCACGGGGACCGGAGTTATGAATTTCCGGTCAAACACACACACACACCGACACACACACAAACACACCGACACACCAACAAACACACTTAGCGAATTATATAAAGTAGGATATGCACCGTGCTGCTATCACCTTGACGGATCGTTCACATAAGCTATATCTTTGATGAGAATCACACACCACCATAAATGAAAAATTTTCACTTACGCTAACCTACTTCTATCGGGCAGCACATTTTCTTGAGTGATTATCCTGGAATCTTCCACACGAATCTAGCGACAGCAGCTTCGAAAAAAATCAGTTATGGTGCAGAAGATCAATGACTGAGGATTTTTGAACTATTCTGAATTTATCAGACGCGCCTAGCCACCTCTTCATAACTACGAGAAATTAGCCAACATTCCAATCGACTGCTCTTTTCCTTCGAAAAAGACTATGCGAATGAAGTACAAGTGAGCGGCTCAAACAGGCTCCTGAAGCCAGATCTAGGATAATCTCAGCCCAGAAAGAATGATGACCCAGAAATTTATATAAAAATGACAACAAAAGCTTTTTGTGATATCTTCCTTTCTCCTAGCTATTCCATGGTCCCTGGTCATCCCACACAGGTCTTCAAAAAATCAATAATATAATCATTTTGAAGAGCCCGACGTTTTGTAGTCATCAATGAACAACTCAAGGATTCCTGTAATAGGAAAATGGAGAAAAGCTGTGCTGAAACCCCTCATTTCCAAGGACCAAAATGCTATGGTGAAATCTCTGTGGAAATTTGTTTTCGGCGGTGATTTGATATGGGAACGGGTCACTTCTTCGTTGCGCTTATCAAACCGTACCTGACCGTCAATCTTCCTGATAAAGTCGACTCGTATAAAATAGCCGACAACAAGTGGTCTTCAGTTGGACACGATGGTGAGTTTTATCTCTTTGTACATTGCTTAGTCTCTTTCTATAAGATGTCATTTTTCTTATTATGAGCAAAGTTCGCTATTGGTTGCTCGCAGAGTAAAACGAAGATCTTCTCCATGAACAGTACTTGTGCTTTTCTAAGCTGTTATAATTTACTCAAAGAAATCCACTACTGAAAACTCAGTACTTCTAGCATAAGCTCAGCTAAGCCATTTCGAAATTTAAGTACTTCGGTGACCTATTTGCAGGGCCCATGCTCAAGAATAATCGCAAAAAGGCCATGGCACCCAATCCTGGAGAAACCTATATGGAACCGATTGAAATAGCGCTTTTTATGACCCTGTCCTTTGAGCACCTCCCTCCCTTTCACCGTTCAACTGAAAACTGAACAGTTCCTTTTGATTTTGAAAGATTCTGACTTCCTATAGGCACGCTGTTGTCTGCAAAGATGTAACTAGCGGTCGTTGACCTTCCATGAGTCTTGTGACAGTGTGGATGTGATCGATTGCACTATAACCTTTCAGAGACCTTACTTTCTCGATGGCTGTACTTCGTCGAGTATTCTGCCTATCCTGTTGAAGATGACTCGTGTGAAAAGCCTGTAGATTACGGACAGCAGGCAGAATGGGCGATAATTGCCAATATTGTCTGGATCTTCCTTTTTGTACAGCAACACAGTCTCGCTAGTTTTCCACGATGGGCACTGTGCATTCCAACAGGCGCCGCGTGAAGAGCCGAACCACCGTTCTTAGATTTTTGTTGGAAGGCTCTTTAGAGTTCAGCTTTGATCCTGTCGAGACCGAGCGCCGTACAAATCCTTATCGACGTGATGGTATATCAAATTTCGGAAGGAGGACCGAAGAAGGATAAATCCGTTTTGCCTAAGATGGTAGGTAGGCAGGTAGACGTAGCTGTCGAAGCCATCCGAGTAGCAGTCATAGATGACCTTCTCCATTCACCTTCGACATGCAGTAACTGTTCCGTATGACGATGGATGAAAGTGAACAGTCTTGGTAAGTGGACAGTCTTTCACGCTGATCATTCAATTTCATAAGTACCGATATGTAACTCTTTACCCGTTCTTCAAGGACAATACTGTCGTTGAAATTACCCACGATGACATTGGAAGAAGTCTTCTTAGTTGATGTTGGTGATTGGGTAAGGACGGCTGATTGGGCTGGGGTTGAGCCTCATTTCCTCAATCGCAAACGTTAGATTGGGTTGTCAAGCTTCCTTACGAATCGATGTTTACGGCCAAGAGCGTTGACGAGGACACCTACATCACCGACGCCTCTGCTGCTGTGCGTTCATCAGTTCTTCTCCGCTCTCGACAACCGTCATGCTTTTCTTGTGCACGTCACCCGATGGCTTCCTATTTGAACTTACCGGCTTGCATCATCATCTCCTATACACGCTTCCGATGCAAGCGTCTTATAATGTCGCTAGTCATTCCTCGTATGAGAAGCCTGTTATGGCCCTATTTGGGCAGCCCTCCTGAGCAGTCTCATCTAATGCTGCAGTTTTTATTTCCCTGTTCCCCCCACTGAGATCCATCACACCTCATGGGCACTTCTCACATGTTTACTGGGCCGTTGGCTCCGTCCAGTGTCCATGCCCACTTTTAGGAATTGATACCGTTGCTGTTCCAGAGTATTCGCTCGTGTTGCGCCAAACGTGCCCCTTCTCCCCAAGTACAGATTTACAAGAAAATAAAACAAAAATGGTAAGAATTCACTGTCGACAGGATCTGCCAAGTGGCCCTTTCACAGAGTCTGTACGTACCTTTCCACCGCAGCGATATACGATAGCAGGCTCCTTTTACTTCACCTCAATGGGGAAAAATAAAGACAATATCAATACAAAAATCATCACGAGCCTCGAATATTTACAGAACAGTTAAATACACAAGTCATTTACTTCGGAATTTCCTTCCTCCAATTTGTTGAATTCAGAGAGGATTTCTGGTGTGTCTCCTCTTCATATTGGCCGATTGCCATATTGAACTCGATTCGTCATCGGAAGAATATCGAAAAGAAGGGAGAGACTTTCAGAACAGGCGGTCCACTCTAGGTATGTGAGAACTACGTGTAAGCGTGAAAGTATTTGTCCAAAAATTATAGATATGAAACTTGAAGTGAGAAAATTGGGAGACGAGCGTTAGGAACGATTTTGGGTAGTCGATTCGCCGCACACGGCTGTCGCGGACCACTCATTCGCCGTTATTACAGCTCTAGCGTTCTTCATACAGCTTAATCGATATGCGATCATTATTTTATGCATAATTCTAGTATTAGTACTTTTGCTCTTGTATT